TAGTTAAAACCAATTGTCTAAATAACACCCCCGCAGTTTCTTGACTTGAATTCTTCAATTCTTCATTTATTTTTGTTTCTTCAGTTTTTCGATTTGCAATTTTTGGAGTTTTCAACTTAAAATTTTTCAGTTTTTCAATTTTCCAACGTTTGGATTTTTCGGTTTGTAGATTTTGCAGTTTCTCGATTTGAGTTTCCCGAATTTTCACTTCTTGACTTTTCAATTTTTCGTTTCGATCTTTTGTTTTCTTTATTTTTGATGTTACGACTTTATAATTCCTTGTTTTCTTTTAATTTCAGTTTCTTCAATTTTTCGTTTCTTTAATTTTTCCATTTTTTATTTTATTTATTTCTTCAATTTTACGACAAGCAACTCTTCGAGTTTTTATTTTAAAATTTTCCAGTTTTTCGTTTTTCCAACTTTTTAATGTTTGATTTTTCAGATTTTGAAATTTTTCACTTTGCAATTTCTCGAGTTTTCAACTTCTTTGTTTTTTCAATTTTTGGATTTTGTAAGTTTTTGGTTTTCAATGTTTCGACTTCTCGATATTTTATTTTTCAATTTTTAGATTTTCCAATTTTGACGATTCTATAATTTTTCGATTTTACAGTTTTTGGGTTTTTCAATTTTTTTCGATTTTTTAATTTTTCGACTTTTTGAATAAAAAAAATAGAAAAATTGTTAAAATGAAAAACCGAAAAGGTGTAAAATGAAATCTTTGAAAAATGAAGAACTTGAAAAATTAAAGAAATGAAAAATTGAAAATTCGTAAAATCAAAATTTGAGAAACTTAAAAATCGAAGAATGAAAAATTAAAACTCAAACAATAACGGAAATATTGAAAACTGAAAGAATATGAAAAGTTGTGATACTTTACAATAAATTATAAAATCGAAGAAAAAGCAACAACGAAAAATTCTGATATCAAAAAATTGATCGAAGGTAAGTGAATCTAGATTTTTCGAAAAATTATAAGATTTGTTTTTGCGAATTTTATTTTTTTATGATAAGTGATAACCCTTGTAAGTTAAAATAAAGATATCAATATTTTTGCAAGGACACTATATCAATTTAGATAGATCAGTGTAACACTAATAATAACAGTACTGTATTCCCAAAATTTCGGGAAAATTTAGTGCGTCGTTCTTGATTTATTTAATAAAATAAATTGACTAATTTTTCGATTTTACAATTTTTGGGTCTTCCAATTTTTTCCGATTTTTTAGTTTTTCAATTTTTCAACTTTTTGAATAAAAAATGAAAAAATTGCAACACTGTAAAATTGAAAAATCAAAATGAAAAACCGAAAAAGTAAAACATGAAATCTTTGACAAATCTAAAAATTGGAAAGCAAAAACGTACAAAATTGAAGAAACGAAAGATTGAAAAATTGAAAGACCAAAAATGGAGAAACTTAAAAAACGAAATTTCGTCTTTCCGATATTTATTTTTTTTTTTGAGTCACCTTGAACAAGTAATTCTAAAAACCATGAGTGCATTAATAAACTACGACTATAGAGTCATAATATTTTGCATACTTCAGAGGATTTATTAGGCAAAATTGTGAGATGACGTCATCAAATTTTTGGGAGAGGATAAACACATAAATTTTGATTAACGATTTACTAAGATTATGATTATTAAAACGTTTGCGAGATTAAACTTAATTTAGAATTGTGATTTTTTTTTCAACAACATGGTAAAAACTCAACAAAACTGAAGGAGTATTTTAATTTATAAAAATAAAACAAATTCACTAAAATTTGTAAATTTGGCTATACATGATAATTTTAATATAAATAAAAAAATGATACGACAGACAGACGCACGGAAAGGGAGACCACGTTTTTCGTCCTTTAGAGGTCATGAAGCGTGGAAAGAACATGAAAGTGGCTTATGCTCAGTAAAAATTGCTCCAAGGTAATTTGATTTTGCGAATTTTATTTTTCAATAAGTCCAGTAGTTTCGTAGATTATCTGCCTAGTAGAAATTGACACAAACAGATAGGCGACAGACAGACAAGCAGACAGAAATGCAAGACCTACTTTTTTCGTACTCTAGGGGTTATCACGCTTACTCTCCAAACGTAAAAATACGCCAATTAAATGATAAGGCATATCTGAATCTTCGTTCCAACTGATCGGAGAAAATAAGCAAACACTAATCTTTTAATCTAGAGAATTAAACACGATTGATGACGTTCGGGTTGGGGCAAAGTTAAGCAGATAAGTATAATCGAAGCTTTAATATTTACCTCTAATTTAATCACAAGATTAGAGTAATACGCTGTAGAAAGTCCAAAATAGTTAAAATTAACATTATAAGTGAAATACTTAAACAAATTTATTTTTGTTTTTAAAACCAGAGATCTGTACAAAATTACAGTGGTAATGTTCACCTATTTCTTATCAGAAGAAATCTAATAAAAATCGATACAGACGACAGACGACAGACGCCAGACAATCGGAGTCTCATATTTTAGGGGACATGAAACTTCCTCAGCTTACGCTCAGGAAGTGAAAATTGCATAAATTATAAATCTATAACTTGAGGATGGTAAAAATTGCACTAAATGTAAACCATTACGTCAAGAGATTCCACAGTTTTAGACACTTTTGAGTCTATTTTCTGAAATCTTTAGTATTAGTATTGATAATCCGTAAGGTTTAGGCATGGTTTCTTGATAACAGATCGAGTTCACATCATAAAATTATTTTTAAATTCGGATAAAAAAAGCAAGAAAAGCTCTTTGAGCCTAGGTCCTATAAAATATAATCCGATGTTGTTATTTATACATGTTAGGAACAGTTGCAGGTTGGTAAATATAAGTGATACGAAAAATTGTTTAGCATCATAAAGTGACAGCGCATAAAACGAATATCTCAAGATATCGTTGTATCAACTTTGATCAAACAGAAATCACAATTACGTGTTTCTTATCCGCCACATTATCAATAGTCTTTGTGCAGCATTCGTGAGTACCAAACAAAGTATCAGATAAAATAACATTTTGTTACGATGTGTAGCAACAAAAAATGCAAAAATTTGACGTTTCTTCAAGAAAATTTTGTCATCTTTTCGGACTAAAATGCTACAAATTGATTAGTGATCAACTACTTCAATCTGCTAACTAGTAGTTGAAATCTACTCATATTCAAAATTTTTATTTAAAGCGTCAATTTTAAAATGACGGATTTTATGGGCATAAATCACAAGAAATTTGTTTACCTGCAAGATCATAACGTGCGTAAAGTTTAAATTGTATCTTTAATGACGCTTAACACGTTATCAAAACTTGAGCCAACTTGGCACATTTTATTTTTCACGCTCATTAAAAAATAATTTTATGCTCTTAATTTTCGTATAAACAGGTGATTGATTACGCAGGTTGTTTCATTTCGATAATAATTATATAAAGTTAAAGGTGAAAAAACGTATTTGGCAACATTGTCAACTTGTCGTGGCATTTCCGGATCCAGAATTTTTCTTCTATCTAATCGTTTCTTTTTTGTCTAATAAATAACTGGACCTGTGTACGGAAACGAAAACCACATTTTCGTGTTCTACTAGCTGTGAAACTCTATAAAAACGTGCTTTGTGACCCACCTTGAATACTTAAAAGGTGCAATTTCAGTTAGATGTTAAAAATACAAATTCGACCACAATAATAAATAATCAATTTATTACGTAAGCCAAACAGAAATCTAGTGTTTTAATAACCAAACTCCAAAAATAGAATTTTTAATTTGAAAAATGAAAAACCAATTATTGATGAAATAATGGAAATTACAACAGGGCAATTATTAAACTTAAGCTCTAATTGCATCCGCAGACTTGTAAAATTATTCATGAGTTAAAAATACTGTACAAATAAATAGTGTGGGTGTAAACATTATAAACATTTCGAATATTTTTGAGCGTTAAGATGTAAGTATTTTAAGAGATTAATTTACAATGCTACTTGATGTGAGGTATTAAACAATAATTATAGTCAGTTTTATGAGTCCAGTGACACAGAAAGTGTTACTTAAAAATGTTTATGGTATTTCCGTTTGAAATAAGATGTTAAAAAATCGATTACCAAATGCTACATCATAAAGCAGACTGGCAAAATTAAAAATTATTTATATATTTAAGTTTTTAAGTAAGTTTAATCGAACCAAGAAGATGCCAACATTGTTGGTCAAAATTTAGTTAAATTTTGCGTTCGACAACACGCAATTAAGAATAACAAAATTTGACTTTCTTATAAACTTTCATTCAGAAATATTAAATTAATCACAGTTCATTCCCTTGTGATAATTATGGCTAACTCATGAATCACTTCTGCAAACAAGCCACTCAATAAAAGCGTTACTGTTTACTCGATATGTATATTTATGTTATGTAAAAATTCACAAAATTAAAATTTCAAATTTACCAACTTAACCTTGTCAGCATCGATTAAAACTGTTAAAACCAAAGGTAAATAAATTTAATGTCTGTACCCCAATAGCAGGGATTGTTTGCGAACGATACCACATAAAAATACTCGAAAAATCGTAAATCGTGAATAAATAAAAAGTGTGAAACAATGCCAGCGATTAAACACAATTGCGCTCAAGATCGATTGATTTGGCAATGAAAATCTTTTAAATCGGGCTCTTATGATAAAAGATAAAGAAAACTGTTTCCATGCTGTTGCAGTTTTCAGCAAAAAAATAACAAATTCAAATTCATTATTCAATGTGGTTTAGAATTGTTTAAACTACGAGGATATGTCACTTTTTTCCAGCAGCGCATCACGTGTTGGCAATAAAAATTAACATTCAAGGGCGATCAGTGCATTTTACACTTGTAACATTTGTTTCTCCACAAATCCAAAGGATTATTTTATTAAACCACGTACTTATTATTAGCAGCAACTTCCATGATATTTTTGGCAATGTCACAGTCGCCGATTTATTTGTTTACAGTCAAAATTTACGCTCAACCACATTACATAAAGAAAATTTAATTACCCTTTCTTCGGCCGAACGGTCCCAGGAAGGCATTATTTTTTCCAATTACGTTGTCATCGATGTATTTAATTACTTTGGCAATTTCTTCATTTTTCTTTGGGATATTGGCCGAACTCGGCCTTTGTCTGGGCGATCGCAGGGAATAATCTTCAGGAAACGTAAAGATCTTCCTGTTCCCGTACGACTTTCTTATAGTTGTAGTCGATGTCATTTTCTGTTCATCATATGGCACAAAATAAATATACGCCGGTTTGCTCAGTCACTTCGCGGTCCACACGACGCTCACTGATCAACACTGAGTGCTGGTATCACAGCACATCACATTTACTGTAAGAAATAAGAACGAACGCGGCAGGAATTGCTCAGCAGCGAAGCAAAGCTTGAGGACGATCGATCCAGCCGGAAAATACCGAACGCAGCAGGAACGATTTTCCTGCTTACCGCCTGGCGCATAGGCAACACAAATTACACACAACTGATAACACACAACAACAAAATTAACAATAACTACTACAACTAACACCTTTATAATCGTTGCAGATGTTGTTATGTGCAACTGTTTCCATGCAAAATATTAATAAGATTAAATTTTGAAAAAAATTATTGCGAAACGTATTTTGTAAATTTCTATATATCCCAGATAATTTGAAGAACTGAAGAACATAAAAGTACTGAAATTGGTCTTATTTCCTCATTTGCGAACAATCAGCTCGGTAGTTTGGAAGATTATGTGTTTAGTATAAATCGCCACAGGCGGCAGACAGCAGATAGGTAGTTAGAAACGGGGACCGATTGTTTCGTACTAGAGCTCACGAAACGTCCAAAAAACGTAAAATTATCCATTCGCTGGATGGACCCTATAACAGCGTACATTCGGGAAACAAAAATGCAAAAACATTTTTAAAAAGATTTATTCATTGTCGTGCAGAATAAATACAAAACAAATGTATTCAACAACTGGCTCACTTTACAGGTTTCATTTGCCATAATCCATCATTTAAATAGTGACAATTTTCAACACCTATACCCTTATTGATTTTCGCTCTGAAATTTGCGTAAATTATTACTAAATAAAGCTAAGCTCTATACATACATGTCTTCAGTGGATAAAGTCGTTTTTCCTATAGCTAGTGCGTGTTGTTTCCCTTCCGCCATTATAGCCTAAATTTAAAAATCAGTGGCATTTACCAACATTCGATTTTAGCCTTACCACTACTGTATCTTTGGGGACTTCTGTCATTTTGGCTCCTGGCGAAGTTAAACCTGGGCACATAATATTGGCACCACTGAGAACAAACCTAATGGCTCCTTTATCGACTTGCTGCATTGGCAAGAAGAAAGGATCTACACAAAAAAACAAACGTTAGTTTAGAACTTAGGAAGTCACGGTATTTTACATTTGTGAAATAATCTCAACGTCGGCATCCATTGTCCCTCTCTATGCCGGAAAAACAGCAATTCTCCCACAGAGTTGACTATAATTTCGATGTGATCATGGCTACAAAATAATTATGTCACACTTGAAACAAGCTTAATCCATTATTACCATTTTACTATACGTAAGGCATCTTTTTTGGGTAAAATGTTATCAATAAAGCCTTCTAAATGGGGGTAAGAATCCACCAGCTTCGAACGAATCCCTTTTTGTACTGAAGATTTCAGTTGTAGTACCCCGGAGATGCTTTCTCTTTCGTCAAATCTGACAAAATTAGTGTGTGTTAGTAGGAAAAGTAGAATTTGGTGGAGGAAACTTACTTTTTGAACATTTTTCCAAAATTCAACCTACACTTTTAGGTTATGTTGCGGCACACAACAAGTGAGCAAGTGACAGCAGGCAATTTGGGAAATGTCGGTAAGTTAGAAACCTGCAATACCATAATTTATTTTAGTGATTTTGACTTTTTTCGAAATTTGGTAGCAAACGTGGCACAATTTTGATAATAGCATTTAATAAACCGAAGGAAGTGAGGTAAAAAATCGAACATTAAAATTTACGTCGATAGCAAAATACCACCGAATAGTTTATTAACACAATCATATTCACAGGACATGATTTATAATTTATGTGAAACACTGACTAATCTAAGTGTATTGGGAATTTAACTATTATTTATAACAAAATACTTGAAAAATAAAAATAATAGGACATTCAATTACATAAACAGAGAACACATTGTTATAAAAGTATATATTATAGTTTGAAAAGCTCATGAAGTATAATCATTAATTTATCAACACAGTCAAGAGTGGTAGGTGCGGGTACAATACTGGACCACGTCACATTCAATTTAGGTGGCAATCATGCAATAGGTATATAAACTTACAGATCTAAATCACTTTTCCTATTATTCAATTAATTAAAATTAGATTATAAAAACCATTCACGCACAGAAACTAACAGCCAGTAGGTTGTACAATTCCAACTAGAAGTTATTCGGCGCGGAAAACAATGAAAAACATTATTCGTCGAGGCTTAACGACATGTTAACGGACTACAGAAACCTTTGTCGACACCAAAAACAAAGAAAATACAGGACTGGAGTCCCTGCGTGTATTTAATAACTTAAATTACTTTAACTTTTCCTAAGTGATCGACGCGTACGGCATGACGCCGATCTAATCTTCACCCTCTTCTTCTTCAGATTCGGCCTCCTGCAACCATGTTAGCCACTGATTTACCTGTAACAAACATAATTAAAAATTTGTGTACTGTACTGACAAATTTCAGGCATTTTAAAACAATTTCACCAGAGTTAACTCAGAATTGCAGACAATTTCAATGTGTAATTGTTCAATGTCACCAACGCAGACGTTTTATTACACAGAGGGTTTTGTGAATCATTGTTGTTAGAAAAAAAAACCTTTACATTGAAACAATTGACAAAAAAAATGTATGGTCTATTTCTGGCTATTATTTTACATTATCACAAAGAGCCATAAAACAGCAAGACAATAAAACTGTCGTTGAATGAAATGAATTGTAAATACTTGCATTTAATTACGACATAAACTTTATTTAGGGATATATGTAATGTCACGTTGTTAACAGAAATGGTTTTGCTTCAGTACCTATTTTATTTCCCGAAAAGAAACCTGATTTATATAAAACCAACATTGTTTTTTGCTGTTACTTTAAAAAAATAAAACAAGTTAGAGTTGGCTGTGAAATCAATTGTATATAGGTGGTACTTCGGACTTGTAATTTTCCATTAATTTTTAATAAATACACGCGACCGGACTGTTTTCTGTGTTATTTTTTAACCGTCATGTCATAGTTAAAAAACACATGCAAGTAATCAATGGAATTGATTTGGTTATGTTTATAGATACAATATGATCGAAAAAAAGTCGTCTTTTTTTTAATGGAATTTATGTTTAAAATAACGGCATTGGCATTGCATTTATTTGACCATAAATGTCAAGTTGATTAACAAGCACAAGGAAAGCGTTGGTGTTACTATCATTTTTTTTTACATTAAATTTCAAAGAGAGCTGGAGGACTTTTTTTCTCGATCTTGTGGTAATTTTGCGATTATATTTAAAACATGTAAATTCTTTGAACTGCTAGAAAACGGTGTTTTATTAATCTGATTTAGATCTTAATTTAAAACAAATTTTATTTTGGACACCGAGTGGTTTGAATTAACTAAGCAGTTCAAATAACCTTGAAAATTTTCCTTCATTACATTTGTTGACTGTTGGAATTAATAACAATGATAATTTTAACATATTAAAAACAACACAACAATGACCAACATCGTAAATTACATTTACAAGTGGAAAACATGGTTTGACAAGCGAAAAAGCAATAACAAAGAAGATGTATGATTTTTAAATAAATAATAAACGTTGAAGTATAAAATCCTACTTAAAGTTGCGGCACAATAAATAAAAAAGCCATTAAAGTGAATAATAAAACGCCACTGGACTTGCTTATCAGCTTTTGATTACTCACTATAAATCCAAAGGTTGGAAAATTGAAAAACTGAAAAAATTAAATTTGAAAACTCGAACAATTGCAAATCGAATAACTGAAGAAAAAAAATTAATATCTACATACACTATTTATGTAGTATTTTTGATTTGTGGCAAAAACATTCTTTTGGATTTGTCAAAGCAGAAGAAATATTTTTCTCTTAAAAAAAAAAGTCCACTGCATATTTTATTCAAGGTAATTATAAAATACCGTTAAAGTTTCCGTTGCAGTTGCTGTTCCCAATCAGAGACTTTAAATACATATACATAAAGTCTCTGTTCCCAATGGCGTTGTAGAAGAAAAGTGGCGGATTTAAGTTGATTACTACAAAAAATACCATTTAAGACATGTTTTAAGTTTCTTGTTGTCGAAGTAAGTTAAGTCTACACATATTAAGAAAAAAAAATTAAAAAATGTAGCCCCGCCCACCCGCTCTATCTCAATTGTGATGATTTTTTTTATTCGTCGTGAGCCAAGAAGGCGGGGCTTAACTGCAAAATCCTTATTTCTAAAGTCGCGATCTTTTCTATAGAACCACTCCCTAGTGTAAATTTTCAAAATTTGTTTGGTGTAAGTGACCTTGACGGGTTTCTGGGGGAAAACATATGTGTCAAAAGTTTGACAGGTTAGATGGCCCCATTGTCAATGTAGATATTTTATTTTAATAAATAGATGCACAGAACATACAGTCTGCACGGGATACAGTACGGCATAGCTGAGGGCAACCGAAACATTCGTGTTGTACTAGTTTCGATTGTCATGTCAACTACCACTACCAACCGCGTTCGGCGTATAGTACTAGATGACAGGGCTACCAACTTGACTTTTTATCGAGTGGTTCCGTAGAAATGACCGCTACTGTATACGAGAAATTAAAAACATGTTTTTGAGTATCGTGTTGTTCAAAGAATACTATGTATATTAAGAAAAAATTAAGCCAAAGATCAAGCCCCCAGCAATACATGTAGTAATGAAGTTTTCATTCGTTGCCAGACCTAGGGGCGGAGCCTAATTGCAAAATCCGTACTTCCCTATAAAAATTTTAAACATGTTTTAAGTTTTCAAGAATAAAAAAAAATCATTACAATTGAGATGGTGGGCGGGGTTTATATTTTGCCTTTTTCTTCTTTAAATACTTTGGTGTTATTTGAACAACACGATACTCAAAAACATGTTTATAATTTCTTGTAAAAAAAATAAGAATACAAAAAAAAAAAGAAACATAAAACTTAAAACATGTTTAAAATGGAAAATTTGTATAAGAAAATATTGATTTTGTAATTAAGCTCCGCCCCGTAATTACAAAATCCATATTTCCTTGCAAAAATGTACCATTTTAACCATGTTTTAAGTTTCTTGTTGTGAAAATTTATATTAACAAAAAAAAAGGGGGCAAAATATATGCCCCGCCCACCCACCCTATCTCAATTCCGATAATTTTTTTTTCGTCATAAGCAGAGGGGCCGAACTTAATTGTAAAATCCTTGTTTTCTACGAGAAATTAGCATGTGAAATAAGTTATTAAGTGTTAAGTTATTATTAATTCTTGAGTAATCGTGTTATACAAATAAAACTAATTGTATTAATTAAAAAAGAAAACCAAAAGAGAAGCTCCACCCATCCGTCTCGCTCTCAATCGTGATGAATTTTTCATTCGTTGTTAGACCGAGGGGCGGAGCGTAATTGCAAAATCGATGTTGTCCTATACAAATTTTCCATTTTAGACATGTTTTAAGTTTTCCATTGTGAAAAAATGACTACAGATGTTAAGGGAAAAAAATAGGCCTATCTCTATTGTGATAATTTTTTTATTGGTCGTGAGCCAAGGGGGCGGAGCTTAATTTCAAAATCCTTATTTCTCCACAAGAAATAAAAAACATGTTTTTGAGTGCCGTGTTTTTCAAAGAATACTAGGTATATTAAGGAAAAAAAAAGCCAAAAATTAAACCCCACCCATATCCATCCCAAGCTCAATTGTGATGAATTTTTCATTCGTTGACAGATCGACGGGCGGAGCCCAATTGCAAAATCGATACTTTCCTACAAAAATTTACCATTTTAAACATGTCTTACTGTTCTTGTTGTGTAAAGAAGACTACACACATTAAGAAAAAAGGGCAAAATGTAAGCCCTTGTAGTTATAATACAATCTGTTCTTGAGACGAGTAGCAATAAATTTTGTTGATTTAAACGTCGAGAACTATTTTCAACAATGCATAGGTACTGACAAAAAGTTACGGTGTAGAAAATGACGGCAAGTATTTAAAATATGAGGGTTTAGGTGAACAGGTGATTAAATAGCTTCGTAAGTGGACCTCATTTTATCAAAATCTGATTTTCATGGAATCAGTACTGTCAATCAGAAAAATATCCCCCCTACTTTAGGGGATTTTCATTCAAGTTGGCAGCACTGCACACTACCGCAATTTGACGACCAACGATGTGCCAACTTTCAACGGATGATATAAACGACGCATACCTTCGCTGCGTATTTATCTTACGACAGCGCCAAGTTTATAAATCGATCTTACCAATTGATATTAACTATTTGACTTGTCACACTTGTTTTATATTCACCCTGTGTAACAGGCAGTATTTGTAAAAAGAACGAAATCAAAATTTTAGTCCACAAAAAACCATAATGTAATGTAAAATTACCTGGAACAAAGCTTGTCCCTTTCCGGGATATGCATCAGTGACATCCTCTTTCCAATTAAGAAAGGCCTCTTCGTCGACGATCTCCAGATCGTAGAGGGCCATAAACCACCTGAGAAGTTGTCCCCTCGGGAAATTTAACGAGTAAAAATGCACCTGCAAAGAATACACGGCCACAAGTTGAAGTGAGAGTTTCTCTCTTAAGAACGCGTGCAAAATCGGCTGGTAACGCTCCAGCATGCTCTTCTCCTTCTCCGCGACGGCTTTATCATCGCCGCTGGCGGCCGCTTCTTGCGTTATATACTTCAAAAGCACGGTCATAAGAGCATTGATGAATCCGGCATCACTGAAGTTGCTCGGATCCAAATTCTCCTTGATCCACTTGTAGTATGACTGCGGATTGGGATCGGCGTTCAGCTGCCTGGCCAATTCGGCTTGGATGCGCAGCAGAGGATACAAGAATGTCAGATCGCGCTCCTCCAGAATCTCGGACAGCCGCTCCTTGGTCTTGTCGCTCTCGGGAAGCTGAGTCAGCAGGTTCACCTTGCTCTTGTTGAACAGCTCGGTGAGTTCCTGTTTGCCGCGTTTCTGGTGGAGGTGCTGCAAGACGAGCAAGAACAGGGGATAGTGGGCACCGTTGTCGGTGAGCGAAGCCACTTCTGACAAGGAGGTCAAATGCTCGGTGGTGGCGATCGAGAAAAGGAAGGCCACGGCGCTTGTCGCTTTCTCTATTTCGTTTTCTCGCTCGTCTAAGACGTTGCATAAGGATTTGAAGGTGTCCTGGAGGGTGTTGCCATTGATCGCGTTCTCTTCTTTTAAACTGCTTAGCAGTTTAATTAACTTTTCCTGTTCTACATCTAACCATTAAAATAAATGAGGTCGTGAAATAATTAACCATGGATGGTACTTACCTGACTTGTCTAAAGCAATCGACAAACCGTGCAACATAACATCCTTGGCGAATTTGTCTGGAACTTTATGCTCTTTAAACAAGTTAATGGCTTGCTTGAGATCGATATCGCCTTTCCAATACTCGTCCAAAAGGGTTGCAAACTTCTTGAGTACTTCATCTTTCGTCGGGCCCTAACAAAACAACCATTAATGGTTAAGTTTATTTCAAAGACTTTCAAAAATTTTTTAGTTCTAAGTAAAAACATTATTTGAGCGACGCAACAAATTTTCTGCAATAAATACTATTCGTAGATTTTATTAAAAAATGCTCGCAATTTTAAAATTGTATTACATAACCTGACATCAGTTTTACGTTGTTGTTAAGATAACACTGCTATAAAAAGTTCCAATTTTTTTTTAAATCAAAAAACAAAGGTTATCTGCATTTTCAATGAAACCGGAAGTACTAGAATGAATTATGATGTTCCTAAATAGACCTTTTCCGCATCAATGACACAGGTAGCAATTTTCCAGTAATTTGAACGATCAGTCGACATGAAAATTGAATCAATTACAAAAAAATCTATAGTAGATTTTTTTCAGGAAAAAATGGCATGCAACTGCTATATTCTCTGTCATACTTTTGAAAAGCTTTTCATAGCCTCTAATTTCTGAGGTAAAGTTTTGAATAAAAATCTTAAAAGCCGTTCGACACGATAACAATTTCAAAATTTTAATACAAAATTTGTGTCACAAATTATTTTGAATATGTTCTAAAAACTGAATAAATTTTATACCATCTAAATATCACTCAACAAAAATAAACATGCTAGAAGAAGTGAATTTGAAAACATCCTTGTCAATGTGTCTACAATAAAGCCCTCAGTCAGAATCGTGGTCACAATGATGGAAATTAAGACAAAATTTACAGACACGGTTATGTCAAGTGACGAGCACGAGAGTAAATGTCATCAGTCAAATTCAATTTGTGTAGTGGCATCCAGAACATTCACGTTGTATACTATATATATATATATATATATTTTAATAAACTTGGTAAGAGTTTCATACAAAGTTTTATACAAAAATTTTATAAAGCATTGTTAAGATAAAATTTAGAGATTTACGTATCATAACCACACCCAGGAACGTAATTTTAACCACAGTACAGTGTGGTAACAGTTTCAAGTTAATACGGGGTGACTATTACTAATTGAAGGAAATTTTTGTGTTGGCAATTCCGAATTATTGGCATCCGTGCTAGTACGTCAGTTCACAGTAGTCAAATCTGGCATGAGCACGCCTAAGAAACGTGTTGATTGGTTGAGATGATGGGAGGTGTCATAAATGTCACTTTGAAAATCAAGTATGCAATCATAAAATTTTAAATAGGTTGTTAACCTGACAAAAAATCATAAACATTAATAGGCACCCGGTGGTATGATCTGTGCAATTAATCGTAGTAACTGTAGTAGGACTAACAACTAATATTCAACATTTCTAAAGTCGCTTTATAACTTAATGCCACAGCCCAACGTTTTTTATCTCAATGGTTAAGTCAACTAATTTTTTAAAAAGGTCGTGTTGTATTATTAGTTTAGAGAGTTACTAGAACTGTTCTGTTTTTATTTATTGAACTAATTCAATCTCAAAAATTTATTAATTTGAATGTATGTATTGGTATTAATTACAAATTTTTATAAAAAACACTACTGGAGTTCGTTACAGCCAAAATTGACTGTTTTGAAATTGTCATTTTATTTTAATACTTAAATTCAGTGGGTAAACCTTCAACATTTTAACAAATAATTGTAGACTTTTGTTGAGAATCACTTTATCACTAAGTTTTGTGTGCGAATTTATAAGAAATTATGGACACTCTGGGAACGTGAACTAATGCACTATTTTATTTCAATTCCACGTAATGTAGTGTCAGCTATGAAATGATTTAAAACTGAAAACCCAAATTTTATAGACATGTATGTTTTATTACTTAAACAAGTATTAAGCTATAAACTGAGTTTATGCATAAAATTTGATTTATGGCGATTACTTTCTCTAATTTCCCAGAAATAAGAGCAACATTCACCGTAATTATTACTGGCCTAGAAACAGTAAAGAAAATAATAATAATGAAATCTGTAACTTACTAGCAAACTTTGTTTTCTACGAATTTTTGCGAATCGGTTCACAGTGATTTTTCTTTCAAATATACAGAAGAAAAATATTTGCGTAAACCACCAAGTCGTTAAAGTAAATAAAGCACTTTCTAAAATTGATCTCTATACCAACATCTTCCTAGAACTATGTTAATCAGGCTTCAAAATATTTATCTATGACACTTTGCTTTGCTTTGAGTGTTATCGTTCGAGAAATGAAAGAAATAAAAAATGTCATATTCTTAATTGACATTTGGAACTGCAAACATCTTGTAATGCTCACTTTTAACACGATTGTTAAAAACTTCACATTTTTACAACTGTTACTGTACAATATAATTTTAATACTCTTAAATTTTCCATTCAAAATCAACTCTTTGTTAAATTTTTGTTTCCTAATTGTTACTAAAATTTCCTAAATACAAATTTGCACCCCCACCAAAATTTTTACACTTTTAAAAATGTAGCAACTATTTCGAATTAGAGAAAACAATTAATGCACCCATAAATCAATAAAAGCGTAACCACCACGTTTCGTGACGGCAATTCTAAAGTTACAACAACCAGACATTGAGCAGTCAAGGTAGTGACGATAATTTGCAAGGTAACACAATTTTACCATGCATTACCTTGAAATTATCTGACTTAATATGAACATCAAAAACAATTTGCAACGATGCAAAATTTATGTGTAACCTTGGACACGTTAACAGTTTCTGAAAAAAATAAACCGAAAGAACGTACCTTATCTTTCTTAGATTGTTTCGGTTTCTCGGAGCTTACTTGTTTAATCGGTAACGGTTCTTTATGTAAGGCAGGCGGTGGTTGTTTCATGGTTTGAGTAAAAGTAGGCTCAATCGTACGACTATTCATTATGTTATTACTTTTAACCGACGCTTTATTGAAAAGCATCGACGTAGGTCTCAACTCGACATCTTCGATTTCTTCCTTGGGCAAAATTAGGTTCTTCTTGAAGCGCGGAGCGATTTCTTTGTTGGACTCTAGAAATACATAAATCGATGATTATTATCATCAGCACATTGTTTGAGTTGGTCGAACGTGCAAGAAATTTTTATGAGACTTCGAGGTAAAAATCAATATAAATTAACACCGTTTGTATTTAATTACCGCAAAAAATAAAAACCAGGCAGTATCAGTGTAATAAATCAGTTATTCAATTCTTTTATCAACTGTGACATTTACTTCGAGGAAATGGCTATTTTTCGCAGTGGTTACAAAATTAGCGTCATTTAGAATCCGAAATCAGAGCCAAACAGCTGACATTTTGAAATAGAAGCACTTTTTTAAATTAATATTAACTTCTAACGTGTAACAATTGTCATGGCAACAATAGTAAGTTTTGCTAAAGTTGAAACTTTAAAATTAGAAACAACTCATACGGTGTATATGGTGACGATTCCGAAGCTGAGTGCATTGAAGTGCCTGCAGCTTCCAGGAAAATCAACAAAAATAACTGCATACACACGCTTTCATGAATGGCGTCTGAGAATAAAGCAGGAAACATCGACGCCACTGTGGGCGTATTTTTAAAGAAAAAGCAAGTACTCGGAAGCCTCTTCATCCTGGTATAATTATTTAGAAAGAAAAACCAAGAAACGAAGCCTGTTTTATTAATTTTTAATGAAACAGCAAAATTAACAACCGTAGAAAGCAATATAATCGTGTTTTCTAAGACTGTACGCAATTAATAACCCATGACGAGGAACGAACTTAAAGTAATTAACACATCGCCGATTTTTCTCTCATCAATATTTTCTGGCGTACTCGACCCAATACTATCCAACTAGTAATTTTTAACGGCATATTTGCTAGGTACGCACGAATGCACTTTGTTGGCAGACAACTTAATGACTTTTAAGATCATTTATTAAAAGCAGTGACGCTATATTTTTGAACTGGTCTTGTTTATGAGCAACTCGCCCGTCAAATAGCGTTATCAGAGATTGTTTCGCAACAACATGACAACAAAACGCCGACGAAATCAAATCTAAACACAGGGGTGATTGTAAATAAGGATACAAAGATCTTATCAAAAGCTAATAAATACAAATTTTTAACAGGTAAATGAACTTTTTCGTCACAATTTACTCTAACGAATTTCGATGATATGCATTCTAAACAAAAACGTGGTGAGGTGGTAACTCTGATAATGCGTAGAATTTTGATCAACTTTCTTCTTCGTTCTTTTCCTTATCAAACCTTATCATATTCATATTGTTTTAAATCTTATCATAATTCATATTTTTAACCTGTAGGTGTTATAAACATTTACAAAGCATTTTTGTTTACGCACCCAATATCTGACTTAATTATCCAACATATTTTAAATCAATGCATTAACGAGTTTTTCATTAATAAGAATTAATGAATCTTAATCCGTAACAACATAAATTATAAATGTTTGGAGGTATGTAAATTTCGAATAGGGACGTAGTAGATGTACTCTGCAATAAATTTAACTGAGGTGTTGTTGTTTGTGTTTGTAAACCTAATGCAGTTGACTTTTAATGTCATGAGTTGAAACTCCCTATTTTTACTTTCCGAGCGTAAGGCGAGGAACTATTAAATCGAGTCCATCTGGCGACTCGCTAGTTTTGTTTTCTTGACGTTTCATGCCCCCTAGAATACGAAAACATCGTGTAGATGATAAGAAACTGACTACAATTTGTCTGATCATATATCAAAAATAACAAAAGTAAATGTTATTTAAATTTTATACAATAACATACTTCTCCACTTGTACGTTTGTTGTAGATTTTACTAAAATGATAATCTCCAAAACTACCGGAGTGGCCGTTGTGAGATTTTAGATGTAATTTAGCTATACTAAGTAGTCCCCTCACCCACAATTTAGCGTCTTCTCAAAATTTTGCAAAGTAAATCCTACTTAAATTTTCTAAAATAGCATATTTCTATACCCGTGGTTCATGAATCCGCTTTCATCATTTACCTTGGTCATCCAGATTTTTAGAACAAAAAAATCAAAACTGTACAAAAACATATTAATAATACAACTTAACTTGGAAACTGTAAAACAGTATGGTTTGGGATCTTGAAAACGTTTTAAGGTTATCAAAGCATGCCAATTCAAAATTTATGTTTATCCCCTTCGAAATCTTGATGACGTTATATACAACCCTGAAATTTGAGCATATTTGTGTTCTGTTCGTTCTGTCCAATCGCTTCGATATTTATGATCGTATTAGTGCGGTAATGAGGTTCATTACTTGTAGTATACAGAAAAGTTATAATCTAACGAGAATGACGACGTGTCGTTCTGAAATGTTTATACCTCGAAGTCTCGTAATAGTGACAGCATGACTGGACTCTTAATATATTTGTTAATGAAGCGAAAATAGTATGCTTACGGTTGTACTGCGAGTTGGCGTTGTTCTGGTTGTGCTTGTACTGTCCACGTTGGCTAGTGTTATAGTTGTTGTATCCGCTGCGTTGGTTGTTGTGTCCGCGAAATCCTCCGTCGCGTTGGTTCCCGAAGCCGTTGGAACCGAAAGTGTTCGTAGGAATGAGATTGGGCGAGGAAGGTGTCAAATTCATGCTCATGATCATGTCGTTGAGGCCGCTTCTGGTCTTCATCGGATGACGGAACAGCTCCGAGATGTTCGATCTTTCGCTGTCCCTGTCGTGGTGAGTGCGATCTCTTCTGAATCCCGGCCGATCGTCGTCCGCCGGTCTAATCTGGTTGATGGGCATGGGGCCTTCCACAACAGTCGCCTTTCTCGGCACCCACCCATCCTGTCTCAAGTCGATTATGTCTTTCAACATGAAACGAATCCTGGGCTGCAAATCTGAATTCTCCGTGAGCAGTTTCATACGATCGAAGTACTGATCCATGAGTTTCTGGCCCCTGCTCGAGTCCAAAATGCGACCGCAGGTGCGCATGATTTGACACAAACACTCCAAGTCCTCGGAAGGATCGTCACCGCGGCGCACCAGTAGTTCCTGGATGCAGCGGTGAAGGATGCCCTCAGAGAGTATCTCCAGCTTGCCGAGTTCGCCGATGAACTTGATGTTGCCAAGCATCTTGCGCTTGGCGACCTGCCGACGCTCCTCATCTTCCTCGTTGACGCCGGTGCTGCTGGATTCCAAAGCCGCCGCGCGGTTGTCGAATTCTACTTTGCACTTGTTGAGCAGCAGAAGGCGGAAGGTGCACGCGCTTTCGTCGGGTTCGAAATTGGGGGCTTCTTCGGACAGGCGCTTGCACAGCTGTGCATACATAGACGAGTACTTTGGCTCGTCGAGGGCCTTGTCGAATATGAGCAGGATGACGCCCTTTAGGATGACGCTCGAATGGAGCTCGATGCGGAGCAGGTCATCACTCAGCTTCTGGAATTTCTCCGGGGTGAGCTTGTTGAGGATGCCACGCACCTTGCGGAAGACGAGGTCGTTACGAGACTCGGGGGTGAGCGCATCTTGACGTCGCAATGTTGATGGAGGGACCCAGCGTCGCTTCACGGGGGGAACAGCGTCCTTCCCCGAATTACGAGCTTGTGGCCCCGTCTGCCTGGGGCTCTCCGTCGTGGTGGTGATCGGGCGCGCCTCGAAAACTCTCGCTTCGCACCAGTTCAAATTCAGTCAGGCAATACGGCCTCCGCTACCTGTACAACATAGTTTTTTACAACCATTAACATTTAAAGATTTAACACACACAATCGAAGTATCATAAAAAGAGGGAACAATGCTTATTAGTACAGTCAGTATTGCTCCAAAAAACTTTCCCTCGTTTCATATTACTTCCATGTTATAATTCAAGCAGCGTAACAAAGTTAATTCATGTTTCTTATAAACGAAGGGTTAATAATGTTAAAAGGAACATAAGTAAAGGTAAAAAAAGTCAACCAAATTCAAGAGCCTATTTCAATTCTCAATAGCCCGACCGTACTTAACTGTAGTACATATAGCTACTATCTTTAAAAATTGTACATCATATTGACATGTATAAAATAAGTATACAATATCAAATTTAAACTCATAAGTATAGGCAAGTTTCCGCGTTCGAACTACAAAACTTAACGAGGTGGTCTGTATACTTGAAACTCAAGTATAGATTAACGAAATCAAGTGACTGCGTCTCAAGTAAAGATTTCAGTGCAGCGAGAGGTGAACAACACTAATATCAAAACACATACATATTGATTAGCCTTTCGGAATTTTCTGGCTATCAAAAAACAAATTGTTTTTATCTGAAGTTTCACAAAGATGTTGAAATATATAAAGTAAGAAACCCCTGAGATTATTCGGAATGTAAAACTGCACTACGGTCCATGGTTCAAACACGACACGTGCCAGTGATTCTTAGAACAATGCTAGATGCTGTCGGACACCAAGACCTTAATCTCAAGCTGACCTTGTCACTGTAATGTATAATGTGTCATGGAATTCGGTCTTAAACTGTAAGTCCAACATTTTGCATCGTCGACGTGTTGCAGAACAAAAGACGAGGTTTATTGCGTTGCATTCCACGACGTCTCTATAGGATTTCAGCTTAGAGAGAGGAGATTCATGAATTCTAACACGTTCGAAACATGGGTTGAAAAGTCTGGATTTTATGTATACGTACAAAAACATTAAAAACGCAGGGTATTTTCTCTCATTCTTTTATTTAAAAAATGTTCATGTTCATGTTTGCCTGACACCGTATAAGGTCTTGAACAGTAATTTCTTGGTAAATGTATTAATTATTAATAAGTGCAGGCATTCTAACGCTGAAAAATGTTTTTCGCAAGGCTGAGTTTCCTAATGATCACACTTAAGTGACTTTGGAGTACAAACTAGACTTAAGTCATGACCAAAAACTCCAATTATAAATTTCAACCTTTCAAAATTAGTTATTTGTGTTGATTCGTTTTAGTGTCCACATTTTTATACAAATTGTGACTGACAGTTGAATAATAATAAAACACTCTCTGTCTTACAATTTAAAAGTTGAGAGGTAAAAAAGTGCGTGAAATGTGAACTCTACAAACTTTAAGCACCTGAACCCCAAAAACGCCCAATTATAATAATTATAAACGTCAAGAGTCGGTGTACCATACATCTATGTATTTTACTAACGGCAATGATAATAATTTATTTCTGTGCACGGTCCAGCGCATGTTTTTATATAAGTAATTACCTTACAACTACTTTTCCCACGGCCCTTGTTCCAAGCCAAGTGCAATTTACGAAGAAATAATTTTGTGCTTTATTAAAAAAGCGGATAAGAAGAACTCACATGATAAAGCATAATAAAACAATACAACCGGCACTGTTAAATAAACAGAGATTAATTCTACAAAATTATGTTGTAGATAAAATGCATCGGCATGTTTTGTGCTGCATTTAATAACATCGATTAAGTGTACAAAACAAAGCTTTTTCCGCTTGATTCATCGCCACGAATCATACGACAAATGATTGACATTAATTGGTAATATTTTTTATATAACTGTTATTCAAGTACGCTTTAACTTAGAATGTTTATTTTTATTCCTCTTAATTTAACAATTGTCAGATGCCTTAGTTTAAATTTGGGTTTCTGCCACGAACTCATTTTACAATCGACAATCTAAATGCTACAGAAAGGCATCAAGTAATAAAAATTTTATGTAATATATATGTTTTAATCACAAAATATGTGAACAAAATGAAAATGATACTTTTGTTCTTCAGTTGATCTAATTATAACGTTCGTTTGAATCATTTTGTTATATAAATTTAATCTTGATTACATTTTTGTGAAGTTTTTTAAATTTCGAATTGAGAGCAAGGCCTAATTTGTGCAATTTTACAGCATTTTTCTACGTTGACTTACTTCTTATTTCACTACTATACACTTTTTTGTGTAGCGAAAACTACGAACATGTCATTGAATATTCTTTATTTAGCTTGAGTCTACGTTGTTAAATGAGTTACAGAATGCGTAACATTCCACTTGTTTCTTTGTATCTTCTTAAACGATATAAAAAATTCAAAACAATCTAATTTACAGTATTTTTATATCTCCTACGACAGCTGAGGGAAGTATTGCATAATTGGACAAGTGTCTATTTTGTTTTTTTGTTGCCTAGCTCGTCGTGCATGAAAATGTATTTTCCCATTTCCACCTGTTTGTACGGTGACTGTTATTCAAGATTGTATGTAGCCAGATAACTTTCGGCTATTAAAAGTAACTACCGACCCGACTACACTGAAAGTTGACGTACAATTTAAGGTTATTATAATGATAAAATATTTATACAGAATTACAAAAAAAAAAGGCTGGTAAGACAGTAATTAATCCAAGATTTTTAATTTTATTCGTCCTTTATACCAATCAAACAGGCAACAAAAAAAGAACAAAGATCTTATTTAAATTTTAAAATACATAATAACACCGATTTTAAACGGATTTTCCCCCACCCAGAGCATATATCAAGTGCGGTTAGTAACTATAGTAGACATGAGTTGAATGAGTCCACCTTACAACCGACCTTCAAAATTTTCTGATTCAATGTTGCATGAAAAAGGAGACCGCGGATTATTATCTATCTTTGTTTATTATAATTCTTGTAATTGTGGTTTTTGGTAATGTATAGTATATTAGGTCACTGACATTATAGTTACTAGTGTCACTGCAAGCTGTCATCGATGTCACTTGTTTTCAATTTACTAATTACATATGAATAATTAAGCTATTATTGTTTATTTTTCCAAAGTAGACTGCCACCTCTCACTTTATTACAGGACATGAATTCTTATCACGTGACAAGCGGTGCTATCAACAGTATGCAAAGCAACGCCCATTTTTTTTTTAATTGGACAAAAAATCCCAAATATGATTCCAATGTGGAATAAAATGGCAGAAGGTTGCATCCGTTTTCCCAACCACCCTTTAATAAATTCTTAACATTCACAAAAAAATTGATGCATATGGTTTCAAACTGTCATAAAAGTGCTGATAAAAGTAGTGACGTGAAACAGCTGATCGTCATGCGCGCGCAACCAATAAGGCTAAATGAATGGCGTATATATTTTATTTATTGCCTTCCATATTACCCAAACCAAAGTAACTAATAACAACATAAAATGATCCATTGCAACTATTGGAAGCACCGATACTTTTTTAAAATTTAGGGTTATGTTTTTTGTGACGTCACAGCTTACTCCGAACCCTCGTTTTCTCGGTGTTAACAACGTGGCAAGTTACTTTTTGACAAATTTCATTCACTTCAAAAGGATTTTACTTAAAAAAACGCACCACAAAACAAATAATTTACAATTGTGAGTGTGTCCACAACAACCTTCACCATATTCCAATGTTCTCTGGCTATTTCGTCGAACAACATCTTTAAAACAAGGTGTTGACTAATAAGAGTGCAATATTACACAACGAAAAACCCTTCACAAACTTCCAATAAGCAACAATGTTAACACAAAGAAACAAAGCAATAATTATATTTTACTTTTTGTTACCGAACAGTTGAGCGGCTACTGTCGAGTGACATTGACAAGTATGACGATAATGACGTTTATGTATACAAAGCCGCCTTGGATGGTTTTGACCCCCAAGTACATGTAGCGGCTTTATGAACGTATGGAAAATTTTGAACCTAGCTCTTTCGGAGCGAAACGCACCCATTTTTAAAAATTGTAGCGAATCAGGAAATACTACTGATGTAACTTTAGTAAGATGGGCGTAAAATAGTGAGGATTAATTTTGAACCCCATCAGAACACCTGGCCACACAAAGACGTCAGGTCGACGACCCGGCCGCCGCCAGAAGGGGGGATGCAACGCTCGTTCAAGGTCCTTGCCACATACCAAGGATGTCTCGGGCATTGGCAGGTGGCGGTTTCGTGGACAAAGGACCTCAACATTTAACGTCGAACAGGCGAAAATCAATTCACCGTCGTCACCACGGCGCGCCTCAATGTCAATCAGTCGATTTGCAAGAATTTAGGCCAAGTGCAAGATGCAAACCCAATTCTCGGAATCGAGAAAAAAACCAAGTCGGCTGCAACGAAGCCGTCACGCAATGCGAAAAACCCGACCTACATGACCCTAGAAGCCGCGGTTTTGCCCAAAAGGAACGCTCCTCGTGGTAATTTCACGAAAATTCCACGTTCTTTATCGACTATTAGAAACTGCTATACATGACGCATTGCATTGTTCGGGAAGAAAAACCTCCGTCCTTTAGGTGACTGATTTTGCCAATTTTATGTGGATAAACGTGCGAAACAACGAAATATAACAACTTACCGAGTTGATTAAACTTAAAAACTGTACAAATGTATCAACTAAAGGCAAAATAGGTCGCAATAAATAGTATAAATTCACAAGAAATCACTTACTGGCCGTAGCTTGTTGTTTGTGGGAACACTGACTGGCGCTGTCGTTCGAGATCGGTAACTTTCGACGTTCTAGAGAATGGAACTTTTACCTAGAATTTTTATTAAAACCACTGAATATTTAAACCGCACGCTACGTAAAAGCTGAAGTGTAAAAAGTTTGGATTTCTTAGTTACTGATTTTTAGCATTACACACGGTACTTTAAATTAGTGACAGACAAAAAAGTTTCGAAACGACAATGAAAGTTGAATTCGCGCAGGATTGCCACACCACCAACTAAATTCCCTAGACAGCTGATCGATTTCCTTCCTTCCACGAAATTCGAATTAATCATTCAAAATTCCGTTAAGTTCATGATTTCTAAAAATAGCACCCACATAAGTAAATACTGTAGATTAGCTAAATTACTTTTTTCTCAGAAAAAAGACGTTTTCGATAACTTTCACACATTTGTTCACTTTATCAACCGTGACGCAGTTTATTACTTTACTTTTTACTACGTATGCAAAACACACAAATTGCTAGTTCTTTCAAAATACCACGAATTTCCGAAAGAGTCATCACCAAAATCCGGTATAATTTGACAAGAATCGTACAATTATTGCTATTAAAATTTAATTTAATACTTTTTTATTTTCATTCTGTTTTCAGCTCTTTTTGACAGTGGATTTGTCTATGATTATTTTTATGCATTTACTATCTATTAACTATACTCCATGCTGTATTATTACACTTTATTATTTTTTTTAGTTAGATAAAGTAGAATAAATTGATAAAAACTGTTTTAATATTTATTAAAAATTGATACATACGAAATACGACATTTTTTACAACAGGTACACTTACAAGGTAGTTTCGTTGCTCACTTCGATAACAAAATTTATAAAAGCTAACGTATACAAATCTAAGATCTACTAACTACATAATACTTTAAATTATTACCGTAAATTAAACAATAAATGATCTATATTTTACTAAAAACTAAAAACTCAATTCTGTGTAAGTACACACTTTTAGGTACATTTTTTGTTTAAAAAAACCTAATCTATCGTTGTTTCTTTACCACTGATAATACTACTGGCAGCATCGTCATCAAAATGTTCAGCAGCTGTTAGTTTCCTTGCTGCGATCTGTTGTGCTTCCCTAAAATATTATATAGTTAATAATATGTTCCAAAATATTGTCACACTAATATTTAGCTGCTTGTTAAAAAAAGTGCAAATTTATTTTCTTGTACCTTTTTTGGGCTTCATAGTTCATCGCTTCTTCTTCCTCTTCATCTTTTTCTTTTTGTTTTCTTTCGAAGAATTTGTATGCAATGTAAACAAACAACAATACTATTGGTACTAGAACTGCTAGAACTACACCAGAAGCAATACCAGCTTGCCGTTGTGAATATTCTTGTTGCCCTAAGAGACGACAAAAATGCTATAATCCTAGTTTATGCTAATCTTAATTTGAATTTTCGAGGAATGGCAAAAAAAATACAGTAAAAAATCCATTCCACATCTAGGAAAGGTGCTATCACTTATACCAATAATTTTACCATCTTCTCCTAACATGTGAAATAGACCATTTACTACTTTCCACAAACTAAATTAAATAACGTTTATTAAAAAACTGTAACAATAATAATAATATTAATAAAATACAGCATATTCCACATGCTAGGAAACTACACATCAGTAATTATGCTGCTCTGACTACTTATACGATTCTTTTTAATAGGCAGCGTGTAATCATCGGAATTATAAGTGAACCGGTGGGGACCGCTCAAATTCGGATTCGACTGAAACTTAACTAAGTCAGGTTTGCTACTAAAAGGTTCTGTATACACAGCAGAAGTTGTGGGACTCGGTGGAGGTTTGTTATCGGGGTCATATTCCACGTCCCAAGGTTTATCTTCAAAATCTGTTTCAGGTAAACCTTCTAAGGGTTCGTGCGTTCGGTAAACTTTATCATAACTTCTCCTTTTTTTACCCATGCTACTAGTGCTAGACCTATCGCTAGGGGCTGGACTACGAAGCGAATACTCATCATCCGACATCGGAGGACTAAGAGGTCTAGCTTCGGTCAACTTGGTACGCGTGGTCGGTTCAGCCGGTGCAGCATTGTACTGCCACGAATTTCTATCGTTCGAATATCGTTTACACACAATGAAAACAACGTAAGCGATTACTAGTATTATTGGTATAAGGACCGCAAGTATTATGCCACTCGTAATAGCTGCCATTCTCGACGAATATTCTTGTTGCCCTATTTAAGAATTTATTAAATTATGAGCTCAAAAATAATACTTAAGAAATAAATTAGTTTGTACTTACGAAGACACTCTGTGTATCCATACTCCGGTATATCCCACTCTCCATTAGCCAAGCATTCTCTTCTTGGATCACCAACCAAAATAAAGTCTTGCGTACATTCAAACGTAACTTTTGTTCCCGGTACAAACAAGAAGGTATCTTTGCGTCCAAATCTAGGAGTTTCCAAAACACCACAAGAAACTATATTTTCTCTATTAGTGGCTTTCAGAGATTTAATCGATGCTTTGTAGTTTGCAGAAAAGTGTGCCACATCTCTGTTGTAAGTCATAGCGTAGTCGTATAGACAGTCGTAGTTTGACGCAGTGCAAAGGTCGTACGCTTTGTTTCTATATTCAGAACGATTTTCTGGAATAAGCGTTTCGAGCACCATACTGAATTCTGGTTTAAATGTCTTGTTATTAAATGTAGATGCGCTTTGCCCATTTTCTCTCGTGAAAAGAGCGGCACCTTTCTGTGGATCTTCAACATCATCCAGAATCCAGCGCATGCCAAAATCGTTGTAAACGCGTTCCATGTCATTTAAGTTCGTTGAAACTCCAGTTCTGGTTCCATCAGGCAACGTAAAATCGTCCAGTACGTCGAAGCTCCAATTTCCGAAGAGACCTCGAGTTTGATTCTAGAAAACATGGGTTAAATATGAGTTGGTTTTTTTAGTGTGAAGGATTACAATAAAGGTCCAAGGCAAATAAACTCGCGCTGTCATGTATCCGTCATTTTCAACGACTTCAACACCGGCACCAGAGTCAAACATAACGAGAACTTCCGACTGATTGAAAATATAAGTGGGTGTGTATACAGTGACACCTTGAAAAAAAAATTTACGTAAGATGATAATTTTACTGTATGTATATATTTACCAGGGAAATGTTGGAACTTGAGTGAAGGTCGGTCAAAGTAAACTCTCTCTCCGTTTGCCAACACGTCAAGGTGGTACCTCCATCGAGCTTCTTTTGGTCTTTGTCTTACTTCAATAATAGTTGACGAATTTCCTCTAGCAACCACAGATGTCAACTGCGTGGCTCTAACTTCACCATAGGCATTCATTGGCATTTGTTCAAACCTTCCTTGCACTTCCAGTCTGTTTCGAATACTTTCGGAACGCACCAGTACGAATTCCCCTTTTCCGTTAAAAGTGTACTCAAGATCATCAAAAGTTATCATATGTGGATCACCGTAAACACCAGCCACTCCGGGAGCTTGGTATGCCACACAGTCTTGAGTGGGACGTCTTTCAAATCTGAGGGTTTCGCACCCTATTGCCGTTTCCTCTTGCCACAAACAGCAGACAAAGCGTGGTATCATGTCGTTGTACCACTGAGAAAGAGTAGGTACTTTTGTGTTTTCGTACCACGGCATGTAACCTAGATTGTGGCAACGACGCGGATAAGAGCCCCAGCGTTGATCGTACGACAACATCAGGTAGTGGTTTTTGTCGTAACAACATTGTTGTTCGGCACCTTGAAGACTACAAGAACATTTGGAATTTATTATTAATTTTATAAGTAAGGTTAAATTAGATTACCTTGGTGATCCTGTTTTAACACAATGAACCGCTTGTCGATGGAAGTAGCACTTAGGGTTGGCATCTTTGTCACAGTCAAAATCAGGCATGAATCTTCCTCTGTCAGCTAAAGCCTGTTCTAGAGTACAAGGGCACTGTGGCAGTTCACTGGCGAAATTCTTGAGGTACCTGTCATCAGTCAGCCAAACATCACAAAGCTGTTTGGCCCAGTTGGTACCCCACTTCCTTTCCCACTGAGCTCCGAAGTACCATGCCAGAGGAATAGGTCTACTCCAAACCAGAGGGGTAATTTTTACTTCTGTTTGTCCATATTTATTTTCCACGGGAATGGATTCAGTCAGATTAATCTGAATAAAACCAAACTGCATGTCGATTAAGAAGTCGTTGTTGCGGTTTCTGTATTGTGATGGTATAATTTTATAAGCTCCGGTGTTCTGGACGTTGGAGGCCAAATCCGTAATGTACAAAAACTCGGGACGATTTTGGGTTTCTCTGTAACCCCAAAGTGATATGCGAAGGGCCGCATTTTCATTCATGGTTAAATTCTGCTTCTCCCAAGTCATTCCAATTGACGCCGGCGATTTTTCGTTATAGGACATATCATCAAAGAATATTTTCTGGGTCGCTGTTGCAGGAGTTTCTAGAAAATTTAAACATGTTTTTATCCCGACGACACCGGGTGTTAGCACACTTACCGACGTAGTATCTTCCTTTGTATTTATAAGTTCCAGGTCCTATAGCTATTTCAAATTTGATATAACCTTCCACCTTGAGAGGCGGCTGGATGCAAATCGCCCTATTGCTACTAACATAAACACCATATACTTCAGGTTCTGTGTCGAATTTGCATATAATTTGGTCCGTTGGTTTGAAACAAGGTCCCGTGATATTAACCACGGTTCCACCAAGCATGTTCCCGCTCTCTGGCGCATACACCAAATCCAAATTGGCTCCATCTAAAATCCACAAACTTATTCAAATTTCACAAGTACCGTAAAACGTACCAAGATCTTTGTTGCAACTTCCAAGTAATATATTCTCGTCTATGCGGAAATAATGTCGACCTTGTTTTTCATTCCCGAAACCTGTTCCACTGAGATCACGAATTACAGAGTTTTGACTGTAGGGTTTGTATTGATACGATCTGGTACCATTTCCTGCGTTGAACCCAACGTAAGCTGGAATACCACCTTCGCCGTTAATAGTATCACCACCGGCTTCAGTGTGACTGGTCCAATCAAGATTCAAGTAATTAAACATAGCGTAAGTGTACACTTCATCAGTCGCAAGTACCAATTGGAAAGTGTTGGTCTAAAACAATAAGTTACGACGACGGTTTTTATAATGAAGAGATGTTTTACCCTATATAGCGCATTAGCAAAACCCCCAGCAAAAGAGACGTTTTTCCACGTTACAATAATGGCGTGTTTTGGATCAAAAGTTTGTGCCCCGATGACACCTTCTCTAATATCCCATTTCACTCTCTCTCGAATTTCCACCCCCATTCTGTCATTTCTTTCCCTCAGATCTCTCTCCAAGCGGAAATATACTCCAGGTTTTCGTTGATCTACATCTTCCACTCTTACGTTACCGATCCTACACTTGCTGTAGAAGATTCCAATGAAAGCAGGGTCGTTCTTTTTGGGCCAGTCTTTGACGGGAAATACAAGTGGGTAAGTTTCATAGTTTTGTGGAGGATCGCTGAATTCCAAGTAGCCGTTTAGAGAGACTCTAGTGTAATTATATCTAAATCCAAAGAATGGCAACTGGAAGTTCAAATTTTTGTGCACTTGAGGTGTCGATGTTTGGATAGCTTTTTGATAATCGCCTTCGTTGTCAGCATTACCGCCTTTGTCATAGTAGGGGTACATAAAATGCTTCCTGATGTCTTGTAGACGTTGTTCCGTTATGACATAAGCTTCTCCTGCTCGACCTCTTTGACTGTTTTCGGGTGGAGCGTAGTCAGATGTCATAGGATCTAAGAAATATGGTTGTGAAAGTAAAAGATAAAAACATTGAACCAGTGGATAAATTATGGGCACTATGGTATCTAAAGTGAGTTGTATTTCGCCATTTTACCAGAGATCTCTATATCTATGAGAGAGACAAAGAGACAGGAAGGATGGCGTAGTTGCTAAAGGTTAAGGGAAAATTAATTCGTCATTTTTGAACTCATTTCGTCACTAAATAAATACTGATAAAATAATTGATCAATAGACTCACTTTTATAATTATAAATAGTACTTTAACTTATCAAAATGTTGTTTCACTTTTATTGTCGCGACGTACTTTTCTATGAAATTTGTTATCAGTATGAGTGCGAAGTAGATAAAAGTTTTTTTCAAATTGAATGAGTGCCCAATAATAAAAAAATCACTTGAAATAATATTTTTAACAAACAAAGAAAACAAAAAAGTACCAAATTTCAAAAAACGAAAAAATGTGGAAATATGCCCAACGCAGAAAACACAAGCTATTTTGCGTGATTTTTGAAAAAAAAAACAAAAATGAAAGCAGATAAATGACTTTTGTAGCACTTTAAGCGAAGCGACCCCGCCTAGAAAAATGGCGCTAGTTGAAGCAATAAGTAGATCATCCATGAGTTTATCATTGATAAGCCAAAAACAAAGCACAGGTTAATTAGGCAAACGAACCATATTCGGCGCTATTATAGTCAATATATTTTCCCTTAGAATCTGAACGCAACACTACTTCGGGTGGTTTAAACAGATCAACATCGTCGGTATTAATTTTCCTTTCAGGACTTTCGGTTTCAGGATTTTCTACAACATTAATAAGTGTTAGTATCGATCTATCTAATCTACACAGTACACTAAATAAGTGTGTAACATATGGGTACCTCTTTCATCTTGTGGTGTCAACGGTCCGCCTTCGTTCGTCGGTGGGGGTTGATCCGGGGCCCTTTGTTCCACTGGGGGTCCTTTAATAATTTCTACATCTTCAGTATTTATTTCTTGACCGAAAGTCTGAACACTAAGTACAAAAATCACAAACACACACTTTAAACACGTCTTCATTTCGGCAAGTGCCGCTTTCTGCAAAGTCAGAAAACTAACATGTACCTCAAAATGGTTCTTTTCTACTCTAGATATGTGCACTATCTGATTCACTAGGTGCTCATTTTTACGATTACTGATAAGATAACAGCAGGTGGAGTCGATGAGACATTATTTGTCTCTGGATCGATTAATTGGGCAAAATTTTTGGAAAACTGTGTTTGAAAGATTAGTAACCGATTAAAGCTGGGAGGAAACTATTTGAAACAATTTGGAGGTCTTGCACCTGCTTTGTTTGACAAAGTACATATTTAATATGCTTTATGTAAACAGTAAATATGTAATTGAATTTGGGGCTTTGACACAGTTTGATAAAGCTTTTAAACACTTGTTTCTAGGAGGGGTATCTGGACCAAGATAAATATTTTAATATTGTTTCAACGGCGTTAAGCACATACTATCGCTGAAGAATCTATAAAAGTTTTTGCACATTGCATTGAGCTGATTTAATAAATTGAGAAAATTTTTACGAAAGAGTAAATACGTACAAGTAAACATTTACAGAAATGTGTCGAAACAATCGTAAAGATAACGAGATGATACAAGTATCTAAATCACACAGCTTACGCAGTTGTTTTTCTACGTGAAAACTCAATACTAAAAGTGGTACTACCTCATTTAGACTTATACATATTAAATAATCCGATGTCATAAATTTTCTTTAGTAGAAAATGTTACCAAAAAAGGGTACCTTCTTAATACGTAATAGTAGTAATATAAAACTTTAAGCTTTGAATACAAATCAAAAACTTCAAAAAAGTAACTGTGGGCCTTGATGTCTAAAAAAGATTTTCAAAAATGTAGGGCACATAATCGTTTCATTCTACCTCTACATGGTCAGAACAGCCAATAACAAGAATTAATATGAATCATTTCATAAGATTCAGGCGTCATTATTACACAGATATAATTTCTTATCGTTGAGTAATTAAGGGAAGTTGTGCAATCAAAATTTACACAGTTTGAGGTAGCACCGTTCATCTTAACATAATAGGAAGACACAATACAAATTTGTTTGTAACCATCATTTTAAAAAAAAAGTGCCTACATTTTACAAATGGAAACATATTTTAATATTCAAAAACCAAGTCAGTAACTTTATTTATTTTTTGATAGCGATAAGAAATAATCAACAACCTGTAAATTTATGTACTTTAACATTATTACTAAGGTCTTGCGTAAAACTTTATCTGTCATTTTCCCTGCCGCTTGTAATAGATATACGGGTTTATCAAATTAGTCATCGATATCTTATGGGTACGAGAATAAACACCAGGGACGTGGATAGAATGGAAATTTGAGACGCGTCGCTTCCGTTGCACTTGAAACTTTAAATATTTTCTTTTGTGGAGCTCATATTTCACTGAAGTATTTTTAAATTTATAACTAGCTTTACATATGCGTAAAGTTGGTAATAATACTTCTAGATAACGTGTCTCGTTAGTCCGAACAACAAAGCATTTGCTGTCTGAATCACTGACGCTATCCCTGACGTTGTATGACACATTAGCTTACAACATTAACAACAATAAATTCTAATATTACTTCGTTATCTCAATTACTTTGATACAATAGGATGTAATGTGTATGGTATGTAATCACTACAAAACTAATTTCAGTTCATAAATATGTAGAGGATTAACCAGAATATACATCTCGAAGACGGTGTTGTGGGTCGATCATCAGCGTCGTTCCGTAGATCCGTTGAACACATTGTTGTTACTATAATATTATAACACATCTACTGTTTTTCATTAATCTGTAACAAGTTCAAAAACCTACTTTGTTAATATTGCGACGAGTTTTTGTTGGAATAGCGTATTTTAGAAAATCATATTTCATACAATAAGTCTGTGTGGTTTTTATAAGGCATCCTTTATATACAGAGTACTAAAAAAATAAAAACATTGTGGCATCCTCTATAAGCAGATCTTAAAAACAAATTGCGGAAACCAAGTATAATACCACATTTCAAGTTATACTTTGCGATAATTATGTTTATTAATTTTTTGTGATAATGTAATCATCAGTTTTGTGAAAACAACAAACAAATACATTTTTGTTGGTTTTCCGTAATTTCTAGATTAATATTAATTCCTGTAGAATTTTCACTAAAGACTGTTGCGCAATTTGCAAACATTCTCATGTAAAATTTGATTTAGGTTCGCACAAATACTTACATTTCCTTCTCAAGTGATTTATGTACTAAGCCATGAAATTAAAAATCATTTTTTAAATATTCAAAGTTCCTAAAGAATAATTTTAAAACTAATAGTAATAATAAATAAGCGGTAATTATACTTTTCTTTTTTAGCGTTACTCATACATTTGTGACGTCATTATCTTTTAAGTTATAACTTTAATGTCATGTGCACTTTTTGCAATAATATGAAGTTGTTTTGTCACTTGTTACCACATAATCAAGAATCTCAAGACTTTAAGAAAACTAAAAACAGTTTGACACTTTGTCCAGTCGATGAAGTAAATAGAGTGTGGTTTTATGTTTCCATAACGGTTGACGTTAAAAAATAAGACAATAATTAATGTTAAATTCATATTTTTTATTTAGAAGTTATCAAATAATACACTCTGGACATCCACAATTACTGCTTTATTCAGTCGGGCGAAACGTACCTTTTAGTACCTAAATTAATTATAGGAAGTTTAAATATATGTATATGATTCTAAGGAATAAGGGAGCTAATGGGTAATGATGATAGTGTAGTTGCGACAACCGGAGGCATGCAGAGGATACAACTTGAAGAATATACATAAGTAGAGTAGATATACTTTAAGAAGAACACATCAGCACAACAACTCAGTATAGGTAAAATCGTCGGGACGAGTTCACTTAATAATTTAAATGCAAGACAGTTGCACCATTCGAGACGTTTATCATTCTGTTTTGTAATTCTTTCGTAATTTCACCGAACGATGATTTGTTTCTGGGTTCATTCAATTCAATTTTTAATTTTTAAACTTTTGATTTTTTCAATTTTTATATTTTGTAATTTTTTTGTTTTTTCAATTTTAATTTTTTCAGTTTCTAGTTTCTTCAATTTTTCAATTTTGTAATTTTTTTGTTTTTTCATTTTTAAGATGTGCGATTCGAGATTTTGCAATTTTTCTATTTGCAATTTCTCGAGTTTTCAATTTTTAATTTCTCACTTTTTGGAATTTTCAATTTTTCGATTAACAGTTTTTCAGTTTTTATTTTTTTTGTTAGTACTTACTAAGATAAGACTGATTTTAGCAAATTACACACCCTCTAAAATAAGAAAACAGAGGGCGCGTGGGCGGGCCTACTACATGCTAAGATAAAACTAATTTTGGCAAATCACATACCCTCTAAGAAAATAGAGGGTGGGTGGGCGGGGCTAGTACTTGCCAAGATAAGATTAAATAATATTAAGAGTAGTCGGTGGGCGGGGCTACTGCTTGCTTATAAAACTCTTTAGAAAAACCTAAACTCAGCTCCGCCCACTTCTTGTCTCCGTTTCACTAACTTATTTTATTTAGTGTAAAATGTGAATTGAATTCTATTCTAAGAAGCCCTTCTTCCGTTTTGACCATTCATTTTTATTGGTTCTGAAGAAAGAATTTCAGTTTTTAATTACTTATTCAGTTTTTCGATCTTTCAACTTTAAAATAATGACCAAGACCATTTAAAAACTATACACATAATATTTCAAGTATAAATTATTTCAATTAATAGATGTTCCCACTCGCGTCCATAAATACTGTATGAAAATGTGTAGCATACCTTAGGTGAATCACAGCCGATTAATTAGTTTTATTATTTGATCGATAAGCCCACATTTAAATCCGAAAACTGTCAAGTCAAATTTATCAGAATTAACTAATGTATTCGAAATATCATCAAATTCATAATATATTTTATCTTTAAAGAAATATAAATTTCTATATCTGAATGCTCTGCTTATATTTGGAGGTATTCCAGCAAATAATTCTGAAATAAGGCCATTTTTCTTTGATCTAAACAAACACTCATCAAACTCAATGTACAAAACTTTATCATAAAATATCTATGTTTTTCCAGAATAAGTTCTAAATATTGCATCAATTCTTTTTTGTGAAAAATTTTACAAATGCTTAAATTGTAATAAAATACTCCAAAGGCGTCATAAAATGGTTGATGAAGGTAACAAATTAATTGAAGAAGGCAATAAAATAATTGAAAAAGGCTATAGACAGATCAAAATATGTACCTATATTAAGAAAGATACAATTGCGGTTGTTGATAATCTGAAAAAAGATCAATATTCTCAACAATCAATTTCTTGGTTGAATAGTTTTCAGTAGAGATGTACCGACTGTAAGTCTGGCCGACTAACCGACTAGCCGATTGTTCGGCCAGTAAAAACCGACTAGTCGGCCGACTGTTCGGCTTTGCTAAAACCGGTTTATAAATGCGACAGACAGTGTGTTTTTTTTTCTATTTCTCTGACTACCTTAAAAATTTGTTTTATTTTAATAAAAGGAATAACTAAACTTCCTTTGTTTTCCAAAAAATGTATTAAATTTGTTTGGATAATTTTAACATTTAATTTTTTTGTAGTAACTCAGTACAAAACTTGAAAAATTGGAAAATCACAACATTAAAAAACCTAAAAAGTGAAAAAATAAAGAAAATAAAAACTCAAACGAAAAATTCAAAAATTAAAAATCGAAAAATTCAAAAATGGAAAAATTCTAGCATCGTAGAATTGAAAAAGTGAAAAATTTTAAGTCGTAATTATTATTATTATGCAAATCAAAAATTGAAGAAATAAAAATTGAAAATCGAGAAACTGAAAAATCTATAACTGTTTTATACTCGTATACTACTTTCATTTTATAAAAAAAGCCGACCGATCGGCTGTTTAGCCGACCAGTCGCCGACTGCCAGCCGACGATGCAAAACGGCCGAATAGTCGACTTATTCGACCGGTCGGCCACTAGTCGGTACATCCCTATCCCTAGTTTTCAGAATCCAAATATAAAACATGCATTAAACGATGGTGAAGTGAAAATATGTGGATCAAAAGGTGATGGCTTTGATGAAAAAACTAATACAGTCTATCAATATCACGGTTGTTTTTGGCATTGTACAAAATGTTATAGTTCAGATTTTATTAATAATAAGAATAAAACAACTATGGAAGATCTTTATGAACAAACAATAGAAAAAAGC